TTTTTATTAGTAATTTAAAATATTTTCCAAGTATTCATAATTTTTATTAATAAAAAAATAATACAAATATTAATTTAAAAATATTGATTTTCTAATAATTTGGAAATAATTAGGTAAAAAATGATACAATGAGGTCAAGTACTTTTTGCTTTACAATGCCAAAAAATCTTTCTCTTGTAATGTTATTCCAGATATAAAATAAAAAGTTACATCCCCTTGCGATATAAGTATAACTTACCAAAAGAGTGTTTCTAAATAAATAATCCGTCAAATTAACTCGAACACAATACGTTAATTCACGCGCAGTTATAAACTTAAAATGGAGTTAACTCCTACTGTCATAAAATTAATCGCTAATGAACTAATATAAAAAAAATGTTTACTCGTCACAACTATTTACTTTCCTATTCTTAAGGCCAAATTACACAGATACTTGAATAATTATGTTATAATGAATGCCATAGGCCCACTAAATTAATTGTTTGAATATTAATTTTATCGTGGCACAAAATAGGTACCCGTAATTTGTCTTAAATTTCTAGTTTATGTAAATTTTGTTAAGACACACTATAATGAACCTTTGTAGTATAAAATTAAGAACTTTATTCGTGATATATAACTTCTTTATATATAGCCTGGAATATGTTTACAAAAAATACTGATATTTTATAGTTCTCTGACACATTTCTTTTCTTTTGTATGTTTAAAATTGAAGATATTGAAGAGTTTTATTTTAGATTATTTTGCGTTTAGAAAGTGTGATTATAAATAAGTTATTAAAAAATTGACGGAGATGAGAAACAAGACGACAATCCCCTTCTACCGACTGCGAAGATGTCGAGTTTACTATTTCCTATAGATCAACGACTTTGATTCGTTAAAGATTTCAGTGTGCCTACAAACTTTGCACAACCAATGTTTAATAATATTCTATAAATTAAAATCCCGCCCGCCTTTATTTCGTGTATTTTACAAAAATCTCTTGCGACTTCTGAAACGATTATTCCGTGTATTAAAAAATTAAAATTTATACCATAACGAATTACATACCTAAACCTCATTGAGCAGTCTGTGTTATAGGTAAAAACTGCAAAAATCATAATAAAATAATAGCCGCCGGTGCTTCATAAATAAGAATGCATTATTACTAGTATTTATTATAATTAAACTTTTCCTTATTATTCATGATAATTGTCTTTTTCTCCTCTGCTTTTTTCTTTGTTTAAATAAATTTAGGTATTTTTAAAATTTATAATATGTAAATAATAAGCCATTTGAAAATATTCTAATAACAGTTTTAATTAGTTAGAATGACGCCATTAAGATAGAAAAAGATGTCTTCAGACAATGTTTAATTGGGTATAAAACATTTATTCATATATATATTGTTGTAGGATCACCTGTAGAGTTAAGTTTGACAGTTAAATTTAAGAACTTACATAGAAACCACAAACAAGGTTATCGTTCTTTCAGTCGGTCTTGCGGTTCCAATACGTTTCAGTTTATAGGAGGTCATGGTATGAAAAAATGGTATTGAATCCAGGAAGTTAAACTCATCAGCATCTCAACTGGATTGTTTTAAGAGAGCTCATGGTAGGCCCCCTGTGCGTTGAAGTCCACGAAAGGAAAAGTATTATGGCTAATTAAAGCGATTATTCGTAGCATACCTATATTCTTTTGCTTTTTGATTTTTTTATTGATCTGCGAACATAATATGAATTCTGATCCGAAACAAAGCATGAAAAAATTAAAAAAAAAAAATCATCTGGTCTGCTTTCGGATTGTCAGTCCGTTTGCCTTATTTTTTTTTATAAGCAATATAAACAACTGTCAAAACGATAGACACTTTTGAAGCGCTCTTAATAGAAAATGCAGCGCTACGATGGTGGCAGACTTATTTTCTGCGATTTTCGCATCAGTTATAGCTTAACTATAACTGTTGCGTAAATCGTATAACGAATGTCAAAGTATCATATTTGCTATTACCTTTATTGTAGGCGCTTCGAATTTGTGCTTTTTTTCTCTTTTGTTTTTCTGCGTGCTTAGTTATGTGAAAAATAAATATACCAGATGTCGCCACCATGTCTAAAAGAAAGACTATATTCTTTGCTCTCTGTTTCCTGCTTAGGAAACAGATGCAAGAACTATAGAGATGAATTTTTATTCACCACCTCATGTACCTAAATCGTATATTTCCCTAACTAAAAGCTGACGACCGGTATGTCCTATAAATGACCTAAAACGCTAAACCATATATTTAAAATATATGCGATTTAGTACAGAGACAGGTTTAATTAAATAATATGTCAAAAGTGTAGGAAGGTCAAATACCCTCAAATGAAATTTTATTTATTTATCCGTATAACGTTGGACAAAATAAAACTAGACATTTAAATGGTCTGCACTAGTATTAAAAAGAGGAAAGATTTCATTGTTTGTTTGCATTGAATAGGCTCCAAAACACCTGGACGGATTTGAATAATTCTCTCGCCATTAGAATCCTGCAATATCCCTGATGAACATAGGCCGTAGAATGTTTAAAAAAATAAGTTTTTTGGTTCAAGAAAGTTATGAATTCGTATTATAACTTCGATAATGTAACTCAAACTGTGAAAATAAAAATCCCTATTTTTTATGTAATAGGAGGCAAACGGGCAGGAGGCTCACCTGATGTACAGTGATACCGCGGCCAATTTCAAGAATTGCGTATGCTGAGCAAAGTGATGTAACACATTTTTTTGAAGTATTTTCGAACAATATGACAGGGTCTTTTAAGAAAAGAGCATAGCAATTCCGACCAGGCTGGCATCACTTTCCGGAGACATTGAGGATGTCAGTGTGAGGCACTTAACAACAGGCGAGCTTCCTGCCCGTTTGCCCCCTGTTCTATAAAAATAAATAATCATAATAATAAATAATAGATGTCATCAATATCAGAGATACCAAATGTTTATTACATATTTAATTTAATTCAGCTATGGGAAACCGAAACCAACTGAACTCTAGTATTAAATTAAATTCATGATACATCTAAAAATATATAATCTTCCAGGTCATTGTTGTTGTAAATTATTTACACTGAAGGGAATTCGTCGAAAATTTAGTTTCTCAAGTTTTCATTTTAATTAATTATAAAAGATAGATAGTATTTATTGGTAATTTCATGAATAATTTAGTTTTTCAATATCAATACTCACCTCTAAATTTCAAGGGATTAAAGATTAAGACAGGTATGAAAAGTATTTATTGAGTAAAAATATATAAAAATACTTCTACTTACAATTATTTTGACCTAACTTGCTATTCACCACAATGAAATTTCTGTCACCTTCACGCTGTTTTTAAAATTCCGCCCATATTATTTATTTTCACTAAGGGCAAAATTCTAGAAACATATAGATAAAGAAACCAGGATCATTTCAGAGTAAGTTTTTTCAAATTTTTTTTAAAAATAACCTAATTGTATTATAATAATTTAACTAAAATTTGGCCCAGCTGTAAATAAATAAATGTATCCTGTTTTCTTTGCGTCTATTTGGATTCCAATTCTTTTCTCAAGGCGAAGACGACAACTAAGCTTTTCACCTACTTTTGGTGGTAGTTTTGCCCATACTTTATGATGGAATCTATTTTATACATCTTATACCTAAACGCTAGACTTGCAATGAATATTGTTTTAGTATACAACGAATAACCTGGCCGAATAGCTCAATGTTCGGCAAAAGTATTCGGCCCTGTGTAATGACAGTCGAGAGATGGCGCTGCAACGCAAGATCGTATTGAATATTCGTTGAGTCTATTAAAGTATTAAAAACTAATTATTTACATTGAGAGGTACTTTGGCAATTACTTTAACGTAACTTTTATATTAGATTATGTGTTTGTATATCTTAACTTAGATTTATCGTTATGTTTTAAACAATTACTATTGTTTTTATAGGATGGATCTTCTTGGGTATAAAATTACATATTTCAATTAAAACTCTAATCCCGTACTAATAAATAACTATACAATCCTTGTACTAAATTCACTGTACCTCCCTTGGTCACCTTACAGCGATAATTATCACATCTTTTATATTTGGGTTGCAAATAATACCTTGGACCAGTGGCGTAACTATACCAGTTGGGGCCCGTGGCAAATTCTTTTGATGGGGCCCTGTCAGTAAAAATCGTCACGTTGTACTCAGATTAATTTCAATAAATTTCGAGATTTTCAGCGTACTCAATAACACGTTGTATATGTCCCACTAATGGCCATAAGCCTCCTCTCTTAGGTGATAGGGAATGGTCTGTAGTCCCCACGCTAGCCCAATGCGTATTGGAGACTTCACATTCATCCATAGAACATAATATCTCTTGGGCAGGGGCCCTCTTAGGTTCCGTGGAATATTTCCAGCCCTGCCACCCTATTGTTACGCCACTGCCTTGGACCTTAGTCCAATGTGGTCGGTATATGTATTTCGGTTCGGTAGTTCTCTTAGGTAACACGTATTACACCCGTTTACCAAAATCACTTGTTCTAAAATTAATCTAAAATATCTTACAAATTAAAATACAATTCTGTGGTACATTCTGGCTATTAATAGCCACATATTTTTTTTAGAAAACAAGAGACAAGGCAGGAGGCTCATCTGATGCTAAGTGATACGGCGGTACTGGACTCACACAGCTGGAAGGCTGGTACGCTATTTTCTTAAAGGATCGTTGACTTGGTTCGGAAATACTGCAGTAGATAGCTGGTTCCACATACTTGTTGGGCAAAAACTGCCTCAAAATCTCTCAGTTGTGGAACGACTATCCTATGAAGTTGAAGTATTTCCGTACCAATACAACTTAGGGTCCTTCAAGAAAAGAGCGTACCAATGCTTAAAATGTAACGCTCTCTCGAGCACTCTAGGATTGAGTGTCCATGGGCGGCGGTATCACTTAACATCAGTTGAGCCTCCTGCCCGTTTGTTCTATAAAAAAAACTTTAAGCTAACTTAACATATAACAAGTTAATGGCATTTTTCATTATTCTCTGCTATTAGTAATTCTTGAGCTGGAAATTGAATGGTGGTCACTACCGAATTATAATACAATTTAAAAGCGCTAAATAACAGCAAGAAAGACGTTGAATATAGTATTATTATTGAAGCGTATCTGAAGTATGGTCCCAGTACGTATACCACCCAGAACAGGCTTTTAAAGTATTCTGGCATCTCCGGCTGTACCTGCAATAAGTTATTTCATATAAATTTATACACATAATTATTGCAATATTTTACACGCCTATTTAATAGTCATTAATTTCCGTTTGGTTAGTATGGAAGTGTGTAGAGACACTAAGCGTAAGCGGAAGAATAATTTTTTTTTAAATACACGAACATTTTAAATAGATTAAGTAAAGAATTTCATGTGTCAGATATTTCTTCTTTTTTATTTCTGTCACATGATCGTACGAATGGCCCAAGCATTAGCCAGTTTATTAAATGTTTTAACAAATGCTACCAAATATCATTCAGGCCGCTAGTTGAACAGCTCTGTTTAGTAAAGAGACTAGGCTGTTAATTAAACGACTAATTAAGCTAGTTGGCTGCGGCATATAGATATAGCATCTGAATAGCAGTTACGGTACGGTAACGTCTACTTGTTGATACCATTATTACTGATTAAACAAGAGAGTCTGAGCATTAAGTAAAGGTCCTTAATGCGATCAATTTATCCAATGTACTTACGATTTTGAAGTACAGCAAAGGTACAACCATATTTGAGAAAACTTTTACATCCGAGTTGAAGCTCACATCGCCCATTATCAAGTTGCCTTGGACGGTAAACTTTGTTGCCAGCGGAACACCGAGTTTCTGCAAGAATAAATTTGTGTTTTACATCAATGGTAGTTGTGGTTGTCTAGTGGTGTGTACTTATCTTATCTATGAAGATAGAAAACAAGATCACGCAACGGATATGTCACCGTAAAATTGTAAACACCGTAAGATTGTAATCTATCTCGCGAGATTGTAAACTGTCGAAAGATAGTCAACTCAACGTACTGCTTACAATTTAACGTAATATTATTCGGTAGATTGTAATCTATCGAAGTGAAATCGTCAAATTGTGAAACGGATCGCACCTCGCGCACTTATTAGTTGAACGGAATATGCCCCGCGCCACCATATGACCATATGACAGATACATACATTAATCTATCTTTATTGCTAACAAAAACTTACATAATGTTCAAAATAAAGCAACAGCTATTTATTATAGATGGAAATGCTGTTGGTGTGAGACCGATGCCTGCTAAAGGTGAGTGCTTGTGTTACAGGTCATCAGGCGCCCGTTTTAAAACGTAGTGTAAATTTATGCTTAATATACAATTATTATTATACATGCATAAGAGTTTGCAACATTAACAAAATAATTATGTGTGTGAGTGTCAATATGTGTATGTGTGTTAGTGTGTGTCTGTGTATGTATTCATGAATGTGTGTCAGCAAAATTTTCCAAATTCCTAAAAACAACCTAGGAGTTCAGGCACCTTTTCTTTCGAATTCTTCGCGATTTTAACGGATTGAACAGTTCTTATCCGGAGCTGGATATATTCGGTAGTGGGCTGATCGGTTTTAGAGAAAGCATTGTGGGTATCTCAAGCCTATCTCGAACTTAATTCGCTGTTTTGCTGATGTTTTTTTTCTGCTTTACCAAAAATTTCTGGTAACTTTATTGTTTACTTATTTTATCTTGTATACATATTTTAATTGTATTAATATAATTTTTTTTGTAATACTTATGTTGACTTCAATTGTCATACATTTTAAATGGAATATTTTGTAAAATATGCCGTAGATTTAGTACTATGTATGATGAGGTAAACTTTAATAAATAAATTATTAAATGTGCTACTATTTTATTTTGGTTATCATTTTTTCTGTATCCTCACAGTTGAGGTCCAGTAGCCTCAGTTCAACCATCTTCTTGCAATCAAATGTTTCTTTTATAATTAACATTTGCAGGAATGTATATTTTTGAATAGATTGTATGTTTAAATTATTTATTTTTAATATTATGTAAAGTACTTACCGGATCGATAACAAATTCACTTCCGTGTTTTTCTTCGTCGGGATTCATTCCTTCCAGTCGCTCTGAGACTTTCATATCACTGTATAAGAAGTGAGCATTTGATAAACCCGACGGCGCTCCTGATAACAAAAACATGCATTACGTAAACTTATTAACGTATGCAAATTTGCGAGTATATAGAGATAAAAAGTATATTATACTATTCTAAAGTATAATTTCCCCTCGTTTCAGAGTGTGACTTAATACGCCATGTCTTTTAATTGATAAATTACAGAAATAATCACTAGTCAGCGCCACGACAGATACCATAAGAGTAAGAGAGAGATGTCTCCAACCAACTCAACTCAACTCAAACCAGTACATGGTGAGTAGAACTGGCAATGTTTTAGTTGATCAAGAATTTTTGCGGCTGGATCAAGAACGAGCGAGCAAAAAACCGGCAAATTGGATTTTTTTTAAATTGCGACAAAAATAATTAAAATTAATCCCTGTCACAGAGTGGTCACACACAAACATGTTACTACACTTGTACGCCATTATGTTTGGCAGAATATGCGAACTTTCGATTGTACCATAACATTTTTGTCTTGCAAATAAATTATTATTATTATTAACTAGATATGAGTGAAAAAACTTTTTAACCGGATTAATTTATTAATTGCCAAAACCCTCCATCTTTTAGTCGATACCAAGAAATAAATTCAGATAATGCAACTTTCTCTGCAGCTGTGATACTTTTTGATATCCAACATCTTTTGTCTTCAGTCACCGTGACCACGCACGCTGTAAAGCACGCGAAACGTCGGATAAATTTAAAATTATGTTAAATAATTGTAAATTTATAATGATACATAACTTTAATCCGGTTAAAAAGTTTTTTCTTTAAATGTGTAAAAGTTATGTCAATCAAAGACAACACTATAGATATGAGTGGTTAAATAATACATATACCTTAATATATATTTACTATATTCAGTGTTGTGTTTGAGTCGGCTAGGTCACAATAAATATATTTTAAAACGCTCCAAAAACTTACAAACGAACATTTAAAAAAATTATAATAGTAACAGAATGATGAACTCGTTATCTGATCCATTTCGTGTAAAAATTAAAATCGCAGAAAAATTAAAATTAAATTAAAAAAAAAGTGCGTACGGACAAAGTACACATGTCAGAAGTGAAACTTCTTTGGCAAACTAATTTTTAACTCTTGTCCATATTTATACAAATCTAAAACTTTAGATTTCCAAGACTTAGAGGGAAAAAAGGAAATATGTTAGTAATTTAATGAATTTAATTGTCATTAAATTTATTTTTTTAAATTTATTTCTTTGATAATAAAAACACGTGGCATTTTAATTTACAATTCGTCATTTCAGATTTCAATAAATTATTTTGCAATCTTTACGAAATTTTAATTTTAAAAATAGAATTTCTATAAGGTAACTCACCCTTCTCACTCTCTCTCTCACAATCGGTCTCAATGGCTCTTTCCATTTCGACAAAAACGCTGCACATCTTCGTGACGTTCCGTAAAAATGTTACCCTCATGCGCCTAAAGAAGTTTCACTTCAAAAAATCTTACCGTAAAAACATGGCGCCAAATCAGTAACCCCATTTATGCATTTCGGTAAATGACATACACACTCTGTCTCTGTCGTATTTGAGAATGCATCTCTTCTAATTTTGTAGACATAGGCTTCAGGTCCATAATCCATGGACCGCGTACCATAATACTCTAAATCTACTAATCGACAGAGGGAATTGTGATATAACCGTAAAGGGGTGTCTTTGGTAATGTCTATGGGATAGGAGATTCCTTCATATGCGTCTTTGAATGTGTTGCAACGACTCCTGTAAGAATAGCAAAACGATATTTTGGACAATTGTGCTACACGGCTGAACTATTTTTTTTTAATATCTTGGACACAGTGGCGTAACTATACCATCTGGGGCCCGTTTTCAGCGTACTCAATTACACGTTGTATATGTCCCACTAATGGCCATAGGCCTCCTCTTTTAGGCGAGAGGGAATGGTCTGTAATCCCCACGCTAGCCCAATGCGTATTGGAGACTTTACGTTCATCCATAGAACATAATATCTCTTGGGCAGGGGCCCTCTTGGGTGGGGTGCCCGTGGCTTTTTGCCAGCCCTGCCACCCTATTGTTACGCCACTGCTTGGACATGTTACTTATTTATTTATTTATAAGTTACTAAACAACGTGAATGCATATAATTATACAAGAAAATATCATATCACAAATTTTACACACATAAAAAAGTAATTAGAACTAAAACTAAAACTTGTAAAATATATCAATATTTTCATCAATAGTAGTAATCGTGCTGTCAGAGCAAGATAGCCTATTCACTGGATCATTAAAATTACTAACGGATAATGTAGCATTCCAAGAGTAAAACGATTTATAAAGTCAGTTTTTAATTTATATATATTATTAGTGTTGGTTAGGGAATTGAAACCTTATGTAATGCAGTCAAAGACACAGATATAATTGGATAGTAAATCGATTTGCTAAATCTGAAACCAATGTAAAGTTCGTGGGAATCGCAGAAATCTGCCAAGTCCAATTAACAAGAGATGCTTTGACCCAACAAACTGATGTTATGACTGCTTTAAAATTGTATTATTTAGACAAAACTTACTGTTTGTGGGTGCCATACCCCAACACGGGTAAGCCTTTTTCACCATTAAAGCTAATAATCTTAAATTTCTCTTCATCTGTTGCGTTTATTACGAAATTCTTATCACCACTATTCTGTATCTGAAAAACATACACCCATAAACGTTACTTACGATTTTACACAGTAACTAATTAAGGCCCTTTCCCAGCACGAATTGCTGTGTCAGTGTCTCGGGGTGGACTGCGAGGCGCAGTGGAGACCTAGAGCACCGAGGCGGGCCGGCCCGTAATAACAATTAGTTATGTAAACATTAAATTATTGTAATTTTATCAGTTTTTTTTTCTGAAATGGATTACTTGGCTTGCGATAAAATATATCGTGTAAATTTCAAGATCATTTTCTATATACATTTTAGTCATAAAATGAATTCAAAGTGTAAAAAATTGGCTATGTTTGGATTTTTTTCTATCGAGCGAAGTTATTTAAATCGTGTATCGATCTTTCAAAATGGATAAATAAACTACTCAACTCCACCATATATTTTTTCCATTCGCCCTACTTCAAGAAACGATGACGAAAAATGGAAAGAAACAATGTATTTTTTTAGAGGTTTTGTACCGCGCGACTCCAATGTCGGTTCATCAGCACTATGGACAATTGAGAACTACATCAAAATTGCATAGAAAAATGCCAAGACGTGTGTCACTATTGGTCTAAAGAGGTCTGTGAAAAGCAGTGCCTATCCCGGGCTTATCTCTTGTAATCATAGCTAAGCTAACTGGGTTTCCTAAAATTTCCACATATTTTTTATGATGTTATTGCGTAGTATTACAAAGTAATTACCGGCAACTTGCACTGATGAATCAGCTCTTTTATTGCAACCAAAATATGGCCATTAGGGGTATATTTTTGTTTCTTCCTGGGTTTCATTATGGACCTTTGCTTTTTATAATTTTTATTAATTACCCCCAATTTTCCGAAATGGAAAACATATAGGGATGTTGTCGTCGGTCAACGGTCGGTTAGAGCGTAAGGACTGACTTCGCCAGACAAAATTCCAGGCAGACTATATCTATAATAGATTAAATAGGCTGCTTAATATCTACCCGCCCTCCGTCTATAATGCTTCTGAGACCTAATATATAGTTTCACTCACTCACTCGCTTGCACTCAGACGTGTTGAAAACAGTTGAAAAAACAAAAATAATTAAAAAAGAATGTAGGTAAATTATATACTTTTATGGAATTCACTAATAAGTTTGTTATGGAAGAGCTGGGATCCCTGACACGGGTATTTTTTTACTTAAAAAGATTTCCAAATCTAACACATTATACGAGTAATGAATTCTTGTCAAATGAATAATCACATTTTTTTAAAACTTGAAATAAAGTTGTTTGGTCTGTCCCTTTAAGCGCAATAAACTCAGTAACTGCCGAACAAATTTTTGCACAATTTAATTCGTTATGGTTATGTAAATTTACTGTTGTGAGGAGGTCTCAAAATATTTTAGCAAACACGAAACCTCCATTTCAGAAAACCTTAAATAAAATTAAATTGCAATTGTTTGTATGCTTCATATAAAAAAAGTACTTGCAAACTAATATTTAATACCAGTTTGACGCACATTGAACGTTAATAAGAAATCCAAAAATGCATATATTCACAAATTTTTCCGATTATTCTTATAGTTTTTGCTGTATTTGACATTAAAGGACTCAGAGTTGTTTTATATTCGATTAATTAATATTGAAACATGTGTTTATTTTTTGTGACCAATGGACTTTTCATTATATGTGCTCATTTACGTACGGTGAAGGAAAACATCGTGAGGAAACCGGCTTGCCTTAGAGAGAGACGGCATGTCTCATACGCAGAAGGCTGATCACCTACTTTTCTATTAAGAAAAATAAATTATCATGTCACAGATATCAAAATCTGTGACCCCAGACCTAAAAGGTTGTAACGCTAGTGGTTTTTTATATAAACCTAGACTTTCGATCTATCAGTAATACGAACTATGTATACGCAGATGGTAATAACGAAAAAAAAAATTAATTCAAAAAAAGAATTTCATACTTGCAAAGTAAAATTAATTTGAATTTCGAATTTATTTCCAACTACAATAACCAGAAATTGGTCATTTCTATTCAAACGTTCCAACAATACATAAAATTCATATAAATTACATATGAACTATTTATTGCATACAAAATACCCCCGCTAGAGGTTGCTTTCCATGGCATCTTTCTAGTGGCATCTGGACGGACAGCCCATTGGCACCCATTTTCTCTAGCTCACCAGCTCCCCTTTGAACTTTTAACGTAGGACATTACTCCTATTCATTTACTGTACTGTATGTTCACACGCTGGTAAGGTGAGTATATAAAAAAATTACCTTCTGCAATATTCCAAACGTGTTAATATCGAATTCTCCAGGAAGAAAAGTATTTGCAACCTGCATTATTGCGTCATTGTGCATTCCCCACAACACATTATGTACGATAGTGGTCTGAATTGGCTGCCTGTTCAAAGTCTTCACTGCTATGTTATAAAAATATTGAACGAAAACTGCGTGGACTGATGCCCGTGATGCAGCTGCCTGCAAGGTAGTTTAGTAACTTAGACATAGAAATTTTCCTTGAAATAATAATCATTGCTTTTTTGTTTTTATAAACAGATAATTTGACTTTATAAATTGAAAATGTGAACATGCAATCTTTTTAGGCTACAGAGTACATCAGCTAATTTTGATAAGTTTGTATGTCCACAAATTTATGGGAAACTAAATCATAAGTCAAAGACTCGTTTTTTCATCAAAACCGGTACAACAGATAGACTATTGGTATCTCTAACCTAAAAACTCTAAATCTTATCTTGAGGGAAATATTTCAAAATAAATTTGAATGATTTTTTTTCTTTTTATTAATCAGAGTAACTGAATTCATAAGTGTGTTGGTAGAGGTAGAGAGGTATGGTAGTACAAACGTTTATTCACCACTAAAGGTAGTAAAATATTGAGTAATCTTCAAAAATATAAAAGTTAAACAACAATGCAAATCCATTTAACTAATTATTCTATAACTGCTTTATTAATATTGTATAACTCACCAACATTACCATATCCGGCATCTGAAGTTCTACATCCCGTGGATCAGCGATTGAAAACTCTGGTATAAATCTAATATCGATTTTGGGCGTATATTTCAGTATACCTTTCTCCATATCCAGGTCAATATTCGTATTAGTGCGAAATTCTCTGTAAATTTAAGTAAAATAAATAAACTTAATCCTAAAATCTTAATTTGCGGACGTGAATTTTAGTGATTTGTAGCATTCGTACGTATATCTCAATAATCTATTGATGTTAAATTCCATTTAATCATAGCAAAGCTTTTTTAATGAAGCAATATAAATTCAAGAAAGTAATAACCGTAATAGTCGAGACGCAGTGAAACTTGTATGATTATCGAAAAGCTTATTCAATGAAAGCACATATCAAAGCTCGATACCACCGATTGAAACACAATAGTCATTACTGAGGGTTGTGAAAAGACTTTTAGAAAGAATTGAAACTGACACAAATTGATCAAGAAAATCAGCTCAACTGTTGATGTTCTTGTCTGTCTGGGTTATGATTGTTTGTTTACGGTAATAAACTGAGTTATATTTTATGATCGGTTTGCATACTTAACATTGGATAAACCCAAGTTAATGAACGTAAAGTTCAATGAAATAAAATCCCCACGCAAAAAAGTATCAAAAATTATGTTCGTTGCAATATATGAAAACATTGAATGTTAATTGTCTTACAAGTTACAATAAAAAATGTATGGGAATAAAACAAAAGGATGTCTACAAACAAAACAATAGACAATATACAACAATGATTCAAAGGCTTGAAACGTTATAAGGCTAATGACACTTCGGTTGAAATATAACAGTTATATATCCATTACGTTTTTGACGTCATATTTAGGAGCTTTGCGTTTTTTCATATAGAACAGGGGGCAAACGGGCAGGAGGCTCACCTGATGTTAAGTAATAACGCCGCCCATGGACACTCAATGCCAGAGGGTTCGCGAGTGCGCGAGTGCCAACCTTTTAAGAATTGGTACGCTCTTTTCTTGAAGGACCCTAAGTTCAATTGGTTCGGAAATCCTGCATGTATTACTCCAAACAACTCCTCTGAACACTCTCCATGGTAAAAAGCGTCTTAATCAAGACAAACTTACTGGTATCGGAATGGCCCAACTTCCTTCACTTTCAGCTTCTTCTCTCTCCCCGAGAGAAAGGCATCGCCATTAGTAATGTTAAATAAATATATATCATAATATGCACAGGGATAATCCTTTTGTGTCACAATGTTGTACATAATTGAGCCCTTAGATAGTCTTACCATCTGGAAAATTGTTTCATATATTTTTAAAAATATCTAGGAATTTACACATATATTTTTGGCAGTGAGGCTATGGAAATCACTTCCTGTTCCTATTCGTTTAGCTCCTTCTAAACCTTCCTTTAACTATTTTTATTTGCTCTACTGTGCAAGAATATCTGTCCATATCCTATACCTAACTTTCGTACTAACTGATTTAATAGAAATTCATTGCCTACACATATTATAATTAATTAATATAATTAATAACTGCCACAGGGACCAAACTTTTTAAATTTGTTTTGATTTTCATTTTATTTATTTTTTAATTATTTCTTTTATTACTTTGTAGGTTAAGAAAATTGCAAATACTGTATTTTATGGTTAGTTATTGTGTTTTTGAATATAAATTGTATTTCATTAAATCATATCTAAAAATATAGCAAACTCATGTTATAATTAGTTTGTCCATCCTTTAAGTCACAGTAATTATATTTCTTTTTTAGTTTACCACTTCTCGCGCTCACCTTATGTTCCAAATTAACTTAATAAAACTTTTTGTCTGGAAGAGATCGCTCGAAAGCGGTAGGACCGCCACTTGCTCACCTTATTATTTAATTGTTTTAATTTTACTGTATTTATAGCAACAAAAGACGGACGGACGTCAACATCTGTAATTTTATCATAACGTGCGTCTTTACCTTTGCAGAATCACAATTAAACGAAAAAAATTGTATTCCTTTAAAACTTTATCTACTTTTCCAATTTAAAAATTAATACATAATTGTACTTACATGTATAGCCAATATATGTGCAGAATCCCAGATGCATGATAAACTTGCGAGAACCATAAACAGCAGACCAACGACAGAGTAGACAATTATCTTCCCTAAACATTAAAACAAATCAATAATTACAAAATATATTCTTACCTGCCCACGTGTTTGTACTTTGATACTTCAGCTTTTCGTTAAAATATTTAAAGGTTAAATTTACTTCTATGTGTTCGCTACGCAATTAACTATTAAATAAATGGTTAATTGTTCTTATTACGTCCATTAAAATAAATGACGCAACTGGTGGTATATTATTTAATAAACTATTTAAATATAAATTGTTGTGCTGATTTTAAATATATACATACTCATTAATTATCAATAAATGTTATAATAAATTGAAATACATAAAATTATACGTACAAAAGTTTTTACGACTTAATTGTCGAATTTTCTTCTTACTTTGCTTCATTTTGTCAAATTAGCACGTGCGCAGCATTCTGCGAATATTTATTTTATTATAAACTTGTTTTATACTACATATCGTTTACATAACTTAATAAATGAATTATAAAAAAGGTACTTATAAAAACAAGGTTTTGTTTCGGCCTGTGAACTACTTATTTACATTTATGAAATTGTAAATCTTATATATTTATGAATTAATATGTAAGATTTACAATTACTTAACCTGTTATTTAATTATTACCTAGAGGCATTAATTATAACGTCCATCAAGTTGACAGATGCGATTCGGACTCGACCGTGACAGTTGTCCGTAGAAAGCATTCATTATACTTATAAATAATATTTCGCAGAGAACACTGTTTGTCATAGAGTTAGCAAATGTGCGGATTTATATCTATATCTAAAAACTAAAACACTTTTAGTATAGGCTTTATTTATATCCTTTAAAGTTTAAACGTTTGAGGAGTTGCTTTAATCATATACACCGAATTTTGAAGTCTCTATAATGCAATTGGTAATTAATAGAAAACGAGAATTTTGATGAGAGTAGTGTTTATTTCTGATCTTATTTTAAGTTTGAGTTTGAGTGCGATGCCGGCCTTTTAGGAATTAGTTCGCTATTTTTTTGCAGGAACCTAAGTAGGCCGCTGGCTCACCATACTGATGTTGTACGGTAAAAACTGTTATAAAAAACGCTCAGTTGTGGTACGGACGTGAGGTGATACGGGTGGAATTTCGTATTCTGCATCGACGTCTCGAATCGCAGGCTTCTTTGCCAGCCTTTAGCCGTTAGTTCAAAGGTTTCTTTCGCAACGTGTAAAGTACGGATTGTGTTATAAACAAATAATTAAAGGAGAGGAATTAAATAACTAAACATAAATAAGAAATTTTCACTCGCAAATTATATTAAAACAATCTCGAATAGTTTTCGAGATAAACAAACGCTAGAAATGAAACCGCAGGTCTAACAGTTTTGTAAAATCGATCATATAAATCGATAAAATCACCTATATCGTTATCAATGAAGGATAACCTACGTTTCGTCGTAAAAATAAAATAAATCAGTGGCGCTACAACCTCTTTTAGCCTCAGATTTCTGAATCTGTTTCATGATCATTTTTTAAATCTAATAGGCAAGTAGGTGATCAGCCTCCAGTGCCTGACACACGCCGGTGACTTTTTGGGTCTAAGACATGTCGGTTTCCTCACGATGTTTTCCTTCACCGTTCGAGCAAATGATAAATGCGCACATAGAAAGAAAGTCCATTGGTGCACAGCCGGGGATCGAACCTACGAACTCAGGTATGAGAGTCGCACGCTGAAGCCACTAGGCCAACACTCATCCATTGCTTTTCGTCGTAGTTGAGTAAAAAAAACGCAAACGAAACGACAGTTTGACATTAAAAATTTAATTCAACATTTGGTGAATTTGATATTAATTTTAAAAAAATATTCTAAATTATTATAAATTATTTATTTATTATTATTTATTTATTTATTATTTGAAAATAAAAACAAATTTTTAAAGTTTGGACCCTGGTACACTGCCAGTACCTATAACGCTGTATTGCGATACTCATTCGTTGAGCGAGGAAAGCACCAGCTCTGGGGTCACCGGTACTATCTCCGGTCAGTCGGCAACTTAAATCTATAATTAGCGCCTGTGCACTTGACCGACCTACGGCCCAAGAGTCTCTACTCTAAAGGGAACAATAGTATTATTGGATTTTTTTTTATTGTAATGAACTATAATCGCAACAACGTTTAAATAGACATATTGTATATTGAAATGCATATATATTGTTATACATATTGAATATATTATATGCATTTTGTTACTTAAATATTGAGTTTAATGGGGCCAAAATAAACCAACATTGGGGCAGTGGACTATGCGTAAGGCAAATACATTTTTAATGACCTTTCCTCATGGAAAATAACAGCTTCATCAGGAAACTAACCCATATTTCCAATGAAAGAATTTATTTTTTATTTATGTACACTTCGTTACCTTATACAAAAACATACATATAAAAAAAACAAGTTAAGTTATTAGGCAATGGGCGGACTTATCGCTAAACTATCGAACAATAAAAAAGAAACACCAAGTGGGTAAAGTATAATAAGTGGATAAATAATTAGCAAAAAAAAACTCAAAATAACGTAACTTTTACTAAAATAACATAAAGTAAAATCTAAAGAAAGAAATTCGTCTTAAGAAATAGTTCGACGTAGTAAAATTTTATTTACTATCTAAGTATACAAAAAGATAAGGGTTTAATAGATAATAAAGATAAATAATCTGTAAAGTATTAAAAAATATAGTATACTAGCTGGTCCCTTCCACGCTTCGCTGTGGCGCATTGTGATTGTTTGGTTGAGAAATGAGAAGCAAAACAAAGAAAACATTTCATATAAGTTTAATTTTGCAATACTTGTGGCAAAAAAAGGAAAAATAAAAAACAAAAAAAATAGATAAAAACAATCCTTGATGCGGATTATATATATCACGCTAAAATTTCAGCTCGATCGGTGCAGAACTTTTTGAGTTTTTGAAGCATACTTAAACCAACAACATTTATATATACATATATATAGATAATATAGTATCAAACCCCTATTAAGCAACAATGGATCCTTCTAGATGGTTAACACTTACTCGTTCGGTGAAGGAAAACATTGTAAGAAAACCATAGGTTAGGGTAAGACGTAGTGTCGATACTTATAGTCGAGTGATCATAAACAATCATTCCCATATCACGGAATTTCGAAAAAAAATTCAATGTATCAAATACGTATGAGAAACCAATTAGAACTAGATAAACTATAGATGCTAATATTACGATTATCTTTCATTAATTACGTAAACAACACATGAATATATATTATTACTAGCTGACCCCGCAAACGTCGTTTTGCCATGTATAATATTTCTAGGAATTTGTTTTTACTTCAATGAAAACAACTATCTACTATAATAACAAATAGGGGTTGATGGAAGAGGGTTGACAATTAAAGGTTGTATATATTTTTGTATGTTGTATAATAAAAAAATAAAAACAAAAAGTTTTGTCTAAAAAATAAAAATAAAAATTTAGGGGTGGAACCCCCTTCACATTTAGGGGGATGGAAAATAGATGTTGTCCAATTCTCAGACTTACTGAATATGCATAAAAATTTGATAAGAATCGGTCGAGCCGTTTCGGAGGAGTATGGAAACGAACATTGTGACACGAGAATTTTATATATTAGATTATTACCAGTTTGTTTTTATTATTGAATATTCACGAGAATGTAAGTGCGTGTTCCCTATTTACCATGCCTCCTGCTGATAGACGACAAGACTTTGTTTTTAATTTATTTTATTATTATTAATTTACAATCACTTAAGTAGTCATGTTAATGTAATGGTTGCAGCTCCGTACAAACACTGTGTGAAACTTAAGCGGTTAAAAGTAAAACTTGATTTGGGAACTGGCAGTAAATATAAAATCAGACAGTAAAATTAGTACATTTAGTTACCTATATGAATACATGATTTTTGAATTTGAATGAATTAATTAATTTTATAATAACTATTAATAACGCATATCTTTATAAACTCACCGTAATAAACAGTATTTTATTTCATTAACTTTAATCTATGTAAACCACAACCTTCACAGACTAGATCAATTATGAAACTGACAATATATAACGATAAAGCCTACACATGCACTCCTTCGACAATCGAACGAAAAAATAAGTTAATAAAATGAGATTTACTTTAATATTATCGTTCATAAGACGTTTATGCAAGAGCGATTTTCAAACAAAAAGCGCTTTACAAGGCCGAAATAACCGAAATTAAACCTAACTGAAAATTAATAAGACATATTTTAAAACCTCCCTAAGATTTTAATTCAAACGTCAGTATATTGTTTGCATATGGAATAGCTTAGGATAGTTACAGCAATTGTGCCACAATTATAATAGATAGATTTTGCTTATTGAAAAAACCTACCAATATTTGACTTAATTAATTCCTAAAATAAAATGTGCTAGAGGTACAGGTAATTCTTGTATTTTCTTGTAAGTAAACAATAAACTTGAATTTTATTAAAAATCAAAATAATAGTGATCATACATTCAAGCGTGCAATTGTCTGTCTGTATGTGATATATTTTATGATTGAACATGGGAGAGTCTTTTTAATAAAATTTATAAAAAACCTGCATCATATGAAAGTGGGCTAAAATGCTGGTTTCTTTTATATCGTAATCGGGAGAAACACTCGCAGGGAGTTTCATTCCTTAGCGATGCGGACAAGAAGGGATGCATCGTGTGAGCCCAGGAAAAATCACTTTTGGTTAAAGCGATTTCATTTCAGGAGGGAATAACTAAGCATCTATAAATTTTAAATCAAAATTGCTTCCTAAAAAATAACACCTATCTTTACTTATATTTAGTACGTCCCAACTAATCATAAATTAGCACTTAAAAGTGATCTTAGACTTTTTTGGGTTTTCGTTTTAAAACCTAATCAGTCTTTCGCATTATATTGTGAATTATCGATAAAACTGCATACTAATAAATGACTTTGTCTCATCGCTAAAAATATATTTCTTAACCAATTTATTAGTTTTATCCAAAAACTAAAGTGTATATTATAAGCGAAAAGTTCACTAAATGCCATGACGCAAAAACCCACACAGTAATACAATATTCCGACCAAGCAAAATCAGAATTACATTAAATACGTTAAAATTATCATAGATCTTAATTGTATCGCGTTTTTCGCTTACTTCGTAATGGATGTACAAATTTTGACAAAAAATAATGATAAATAAGATGTATGAGTAGGTAACATGTTAAAATTATAATATTATATTTAGTTTACGGGAGATCCACGCGAATATTCAATAATAATAATAATTTTTTTGCAAGAATATGGTAAAAAACTGTTATGGTGGAATAATCTAAAGTTCGCATATTCTGCCACACACAATGGCGTGCAAAATTGTC